TGTAACTTTCAGCACTTGGGACTGGGGGTGGAATAAGAGTCCCTGACTTAATCTCCACACACATAACTCCAGCTCTCCCTTAACGATGCTGCTATGAGTCGTACTTCCTTGATGTTGATTGTAGCTCTGAAGGGGGGGCTCAGGTGTGGACTCACCACGTCAATGAGTTGAGCGATGGACAGGCCAAAGTGCACCAGGACAGTGTCTGTGGTGTTCTGCACAGGTCGAGAGAGCTTATTGTAGTTTACAAAAAGATCCTGCAGGAGGCGCTCCTCAGCATGGGCACGAGGGACTACCTGGAAACAAACTGGAAAACACAAGTATGAATGTTATTTCTCTGTTTTCTATATCTATATATGACTTTATAAGTACATTTTATCTTAAAATAAAAAAAAAATCATATAATTTGCAAAAATCTAAGCTATATTTGGTATTTTGGTTTAAAGACTTGAAATGACTTGAAGCTCAAAGCAGACGACTTGGACTTGACTTGGATTATAAGCCAGTAACTTGAGACTCGACTTGGACTTGGCCTGTATTTCACTTTGGTCTTGACTCGGACTTGAGGTCAAAGACTTGATCAGTGATGTTAAGCTCATTAAATGGTTGAGTGCTTGTTATGGTACAGTGCAACACACTTTATTCTTAATGTTGTTTTTCCCTTTTGGCTGATGTTCTAGTTGTTGACCTTTTTGTTTTTTTCCCCAACCTTTTATTGACGGCACATGCACATGTTGTTCAGGTAAATCACAGTAAGTCCCTGGAACACTTAACCAAAAATTGTTGCAGTGTGAAAGGATTTGGTAGATAAACCACTAGATGTTATACTGGTGTCTGATTATGTGTCAGCTTTGGCCTGACAGAAGAAGACCAGAGGAAACAGATGAGATGGAGTAAAGGTGAGGGGAGGGGGTACAGGTTTGACATCTGGGCTTCCTTAACTAAAATAGTGGCAAAAAGCTTATTTCACGCAGAAACATATTATTTCAATAAATGAAAAATACCAAACCAGTTTTTCATTCATAGCAGAAACTAATGACATCAGCAAAATGTAATTGCTTCTTGATAATATGGTCCAGGACAAACAATTATAAACTCACATCAGTACAGTCAGCATATTCCATTTATGCCAACTGTATGCACTGAATTAGTCCCTATACTGTCAATCATAAAAGCATTCAATCCAAATCTAAGTATATACACATATCTATTTTCCTGTGTAGCACAAGGTCAAACATTGTGTTATATAGCGACAGGCAGTCCATATAAGGGCATTAAATAATAACAACATTTTGGTTTGACTCATCAGCAGTTTATGTAACAGTTATCGGCTGTAAAAATGGCTCTGTAGCTCTGTACCAGGACATTAGAGGTTTATGGACTACAAAGACAACAGTGCAGTGGACCTATGGGACACCCACAACAGGATGGATCACTTTTTTGGCGCATTTACTGTTTCATTTTTATCAAACGCTGGATGTCTCTGAGCAGTGCAGACACAGTGGTGTAGACCAGAAAATACACAAAAGCTCAACACTTTCAGAGGGAAAAGGGTTATTATAAGTATTTGCAGAACTGGATTTTAATAATGTTTTAAAGAAAATGTGTTATTATTAATATATGTTAATATATATATGTTAATATTAAATCCCTTTTACATGCTTTTGGTCACCTTTGGATCAGTATATCATGTTTTTTTTTTTTTTTTTTTTTTTTTTTCCAACTTAAAATAATAGTTGCATTTGGAAAACACACTTCATAAGCTACACCACCATTTCCAGCACAGAGTGTATAAAGACGTGAACTAAGGGACTGTGACGTCACCCATAGTGTTCAGCTCCGGTCAAATGAAGCTCATCGAGGCTTGCAGTTAGGAGTAAATTTGGAGCCAGTTTAATATTAGGAAAAGGAATTGATTTATGGACAAAATAGGAAAATAAAAACATGAGGTTCATGTTGAGTAAGTTAATACAAACATTTTAAGACCCCAATAACGAGGCTCACAGTATAGTTACAGAGAGAGGAATGGCGTTTTTTTTTTGTTTTTTTTTTACCAATACAAAATCAATTGGAGCCAGAGTCAGTGGAGCAGAAGGGCCCTCATGAATGCTTCCTATTTGAAACCTGGCCGCTAGCAGCTTAACTATGTCTATTTACAGTCTATGGTTTCCAATAAGACACTGAGGCGTTGGAACTCCCTTTGTTGTCAGAATGAAAAAAGACAAACTAAACAAACAAAGCCCTTATCCCCTGTGAATGCTATTCTAATAGAGCCATGCATTTGTTGTGAACACAATTTGACCATAAAATGAGAGCACTGATGTTTTATGGGCTTAAAACGGTGTAGGAAAAGTTTGGATTTTTGACACAAGTAAACAAAATGCAAACAGCATTTTTGAATGCACAGAGATTTTTTTTTTTTTTTATGGATTAATGAAACAAGCATGAATGGAGCAAAATACAACAGGTATGTTTTTGATGAGGGGACAACAGTATAACATGATTAAAAGATCAAAAAAGTATGTATTTTTGAATGATAAATATAATATTGAGTCAATTTACAGACAGAGGTTTTGTTGGTTATTGTGGTGACTTTTACCATCGCCATATCAACCTTGCCAGATTTACATTCCATAAGCAACTCTTCTGTATGTTTTCATGTGGTCCATAAACAACAAATCCCCCAATTTCTTTCTGCAGGTTCTAATCATTTATCACATAGATCTAATACATTAATATTACATGGTTTTGCCACATCCATACAATATCCATCAGCACGGATTTAGCCGATATAGAGCCATATTGGTACAGCACAGCGGTGTAATCTAAAAGAAGGGTGACCTCTATTATACACAGGTGGCGTATGGTTACCGGAGACACTGTCTGAGAGATGAGACAAATGTGAGGGGAGGGGCTAGGTGGAGGGGTGGTTAGGGGGGGAATCTGAAACTCTGGACATCCGTTTCCTCATATGTGCTGATGGAGGAAAGTGCCCAGATGCCCTACCCAGGTAAGATGGAGTGCATGTGTGCCAGAGCAGGGCCTTTAGATCTACATAAACTAATGAACATGGGGTAATTAGAGCAACAGGGGATATCCCAAGGTTCACACAATACAAATGCCCTGCTTCTTCTGGGTATTTGTCAAATTCAATTAAGCACTTCTCAATGTGCACAGCGCCGCTCGGCAGGCACGCCGTGGCTCACACCAATAAATCACCAGCTGAGGTGTATATTACTTATCTTCAAATTCATATACATGTGGCATATCCACGTGCTCTGCTACTTATAATGAAGTTGTACTTTGTACAAAGTGTGTACTATGCAGTAGTGGAAAGAGTACTGTAAATTTGTACTCATGTACAGGGTAAAACTTTTATTATATTCAAGACGTCATTGCTCCAATCAACCCATTTTCACTGCCCACAGTATACACTCATTGCTCTGTACTTACTTTATTCTCCAATTTTATTTTCTTATTCTGTGAAATGTGTAGGATTCAGTTTTAAAAATCTGATACTCCCTAGCGTGGTCTGCACTTATCCATCAGTGGGGCTGACAATTCCATGGCTCTTTGTTGTGATGTTTATAAATACGTGAGCTCCCTTTGGCCATACCAGCTGTCAAAGGCTGATCCTGTCAGATCTCAGAAGCTAAGCAGGCAGGACCGGGTCTGATTAGTACTTGGATGTGAGACCACTGGGAAAATCAGGTGCCACAGGGAGACGCCGGTCACAAAAACTGTTGTTGTATCCTTAGGCAAGGCACTTCACCCACTTGCCTAGTATGAAAGTGGTGTGTGCATAAGTGTTGGTGGTGGTCTGAGGGACCAATCGGGCTGATTGGCATGGCAGCCGCGCTTCTGTCAGTCTGCCCAGGGCAGCTGTGGCTACAATAGTAGCTTACTACCACCAGGTATGGAGTGAATGAATAATGCCGTGTAAAGCTTCTTTAGCTGTTTTCAGGATGGACAGAACGGTGCCGGTTCCCGCACCAGTTCCACGGGGAACCAAAGTGCTCACGCGTTCATACTATTTACGGGAGCCCATGATGCATCATCGACAGAGGGTGTGGATTTACCACCAAATAAAAACAAGGCCATATGAAAACGGATGTCACAGAGAGGAAAATAACAATCATGGATCGCATTATCAACACCAGCAAGCATTTGACTTATACAAGTCATTCTTTATGTGTGCCAAACTCTGCTACAACATCAATCTGCTGTGGAGAAGACGGCAGCAACAGTGAATACAAAGATGTAATCTTATCAGGTACGTAATAGTTTTTGTAGACTTAAAACTTTTAATGTAATACGTGATAGTTTCAGTTGCTCTTTGTTTGTTTATTTTACCGCGTGTGACCAGGATGAACGTACTGAAGGTCTTCTGTGTCGTCACGGTTCGCTTAGAAAAAACAAGTTTTACTACTTCCCATTGTGAACCAACTTTTTGGTTCCCAAACGCTCTGATTTCCGGCATGAACACGTGAGTCGATTCAAGATTAGGTGCGGGAACCGGAACCGGCATGGTTCTCTGTTGGCCTGAAAACGCCTTTTGTGACAAATGTCTGTGAAAAGCTCTATATAAATAGAAAACTTACTTATCAAAGTTTTCTAACATGGAAGTCAGCTGACTTTTTTCTTTTATTAAGTCGTTTTAGAGGAATATTGGCATTGTTATTCAGGCATGACTTCATCATGGCGTCAGCCATGGTTAAAATTGTCCGGGGTCAGCCTTATCATCAGAAGACCCTCTAGTCAGAAGTAAATGTCCTCAGTTAGCCTACAAGTACAAGTACTGCTACAGATTTGTACTTCAGTAAAAGTAACTGTAGATGCAGGGACAGAAGTGAGACAAGCATGGATTGGGATTTGGGACAATATTTGTGCTGTTCTTATGATTTTTAATGTAGTTGAGATTTCTCAAGTATCCCACAAAAAACTACTCAAATACAGTAGCTTTAGAATTTTTTATACTTTTCACCTCTGGCACTATATTTTTACTTTTCAGTTTGTCTTCACTGTAGAAGGGCTTGGGCCTAAAGTCCCACATGAAATACAATACATATTTTACATTCTCAGTACAGCCAATATAAATGCACTTCATTTGACAAAAACCTTACATACCGCTATAATTATTTTGACATAAATCTTTCTGTTTATTTGAGCTTCAGTCTGCTAAAGAACAATGTGATCCTTTGTTGACGCATTAGCAGTAATCAGCCTGCCTTTACCTGACTACAGGCCAATCAAGAGCTCATCAAATGTGTAAAAGGCCAGCGGACTCTCGCTGCATGTCACTGTAATTGACAACACAAGAGCAATTTACAGCAGCTCGCTACACATCTTGTATGTAAGACGAAGGGTACTTATCTAGCCTACAAAAGTTCAGAGCTTCGCCTTCATAAAAAAATAAATGCGTACTGAAACCATTAATACCAATATCAAATCCTGTTTTGATTGGCGTGCCACATTTTGTCCAACTATACCCTTCCAGCATGTGTCAGTGTTGTTGTTGTATTGTTGTCATGCTGCCATCCCTCCTCTGGGCTCTCCACTCAATCACATCTGATGGGCTGTCCTTCAAACTGGGCCCTTCTTAAAGTCAAGGGATCAATATCTTATTAAATGGATACTGTGTCTATTCCTCCTGCCGTCTAGTTTTCCTGTAGCGCCGTGGCGGATCTCGTGTCCAGACCTTGAAATGCCCCTGTTCTCCGGTGCACCTGAGTGTCCGAGGGGCAGGTGTGGGGCTGTTCTTGATCAGATAAAGCTAGGTATGCAGCTCTGATCAGATTAGGACATGCTCATAGAGGACCCGCGCTATGAATACGCATGAGGGGAGTTCCCACTGTTAACAGGGGTTTCAAGGCCCGCTTCCTTGATAAGTGGATTCAGGAGTGAAGGATTGTGGTTTGGTATTTTTGTGTTTAGGGTTAATATGGAATGGTATTTGGGGGATTTTTCTGAGGGATTTGGTATTTTTTATGAATTTAGTAACTTGAAGTAAATCAACTGGGATCCATATCTAAAACAGTCAGTGTTGGGAATACATGCACCTAACTGTAACTGTATTCACAGTTACTTTTTTATTTGGTGGTATTCAGAAAAAAGGAAAACAAATTTTGCAGTGCATATGATTTTGTCTCTAATTAAACATAAATTAATTTATAATAGCAAGTATCCCATGTATTCAGAATACAGTACTCTGATTGAACCATGTATGAGAATACTTTACAAAATACATTTATTTTACTTGGGGTATTCTGTAACTACATTTTCAAAGGTTTTTTTTCTCATCACTGAAAACAATGAATAATTTCTTACCCCTGATAAATCCACAGACGCAAGACCTCAGTGTAACTTTTCATTACTTTTATTCTGTGTGCCTGAATTTAACTAATGAAGCAGTGGTACCATTAAGTAATTGTTAAATAATGAATCCATAATCCATGAGCCTTGTGTCATAGGCAATTTTACATAGATGGATTTAAAAAATCAATAAAATGATAAAAAGCTCTTAGTATTCATCATTGGTCAAGGACAAAAAGGTACATTTCAGGAGCAAGACTTAATTTGGTGAAGAAAAAGACATTGTTCTGTTAATTTAATTACTTTTTGACTGTTGTCATTATAAAATTGATTCAGAATAAGCTTTGTAGATCAGTCAATAAAGACAACATACACCCTGTAAATAGCTGTTTTTACAAACAAAAAACATACAGAAGAATCAGTTTGAAATCAGCCCCTTCCCACTTTGACATTCTTGTTCATGTTGGTTAAATGCATATAGTGTATAGATTTGTATTTGTTGAGAATGACTTTCTGAAGAGACCCAACCTGAAACCTGGTGGTGAGAGGGCCACTGAATTCATGTCAATTCATCACCACAAGAGTGGAGCTGTGCACATTGAATATTATTGGCTTTAGGTTGAGTGACCTAGTCCCCTTTCTGCTCACATCAAAAATGACAAATGAGGCCTGGTAATAAAAATAGTTACAATAACAGGATAAGGTCCCTAAAGGGTGAAAACTCCCACATAGACTGTACTGTATATTTACACACAGCACAGCACAGATAGTTTCTCAGTTCAAATGTGATTATTGCTAAACTCAGCTTTCACTGCAGACTTCTTCATTGATACTTGAGCAGGATATCAGATATGAGCATCGATACTACTATAGTAAATAAGATTGTAAAAAAAGAAGACTGGCATTGTGTTACTTTGGTCACATAAGTCAACAATTTGTTACAAGGTCTTGTGGATTTGTTTTCTTTATAATTCTTGTAAATACATTATAAGTCAGTAGATTCCAAAGACAAAGTCATTGGTGACAAAATCGTGAGAACTGAAATGAAAATGATCTTTTAACTTTACATTTCACAAAAAAGAAAGAAATCAGACAAAGATACTAATATTATATTTTGTTTATTTGTTAGTTTGTTAGTGTTTTTTTTTTTTTTTTTTTTTTTGCTATTTTGCTGCAATTAAATACTAAGCATCTGGATATTCTTATTTCTAGTCTGCATGAGAAAACATTTTAAAGCTCACTTGACTTAGAATTACAAACCCTGATACACTTAATAAATAAATCATTGTATATTTTGCAAATAAAGAATTAACACATTTAAAAAATGCTTGGCTCTTGTGAAACTTGCAAAAACAACCAGTCTGTCAGTGAGGTGGTCACTTAAAGAAAAAAAAAAAAAAAAAAAAAAGAAGCATATGCAGCTGTTGTCAATAATCAAGTTGAATGAATTAAAGATACTTCATGTACTAGTGTTGGAAGAGGGTTTAAGACTCACATCATCCTACAAAAGTTACAGAACCATTTCAGTTCATTGATACTGTGTTATTTTACCTCACCTCAGCATTTCCCAGCGCATAGACATGAGCTGATAACATTCACGCCTGGCTGTTATCTATGAATACAACTGGACCTAGATCTGTCCTTGTTTGATCAATGCACTTTCACCATTGGAATTTCACAAGAGCTGCAAATAATACACGAGAGAAACGCACCTGAACTAAAACGCATGAGCTATGGTCTCTAAGCAACACATTCTAACAAATATCTACCTCAAAAAGTTTTCTATGCACTCAAGGTTACAGTGTGACGTATTTTAGAATGTGTCTTACCTTGGCTTGGAAGAAAGAGAAAAAGCAAGACAAGAGACTGCTGAAAATCCATGTTGGAAGTTTAAAATATGGAAATAGTTAAGGTTAATAATGAAGACCCGTTGTCAGCACTGTGTTTTGCAAAGTCCAAAAATTAAAACATCATTTGGAGATATAAAAGTACATGCCCAGTTCCACAAATCCATATCTTCAGGTGTTCACCAAACCAATGCAATCCAGATGTAGAAGGATAACCAGAAGTGTCCACACATTCCAGTGGGAGACTCTCAGTAAGTGTGGCTGTTGCCGATCTACAGCTCTGCCTTCTGGATCCCAGCCTCCTCCTTCTCCTCCTCCCATCCTCCTCTCTCTCTCTCTCTCTCTCTCTCTCTCTCTCTCTCTCCTTCTCTCACTCTCCCAAGCACACCGCTGTCTCTCCACGAAGACTCGGCGCGTCCCTCCTACTTTATTTGCTATTCACGAGTTTCCCGCTGAAGTGTCTATGCCGGATCGCCACGCCAATACCCCAGGGCTCCCAGCTCTGTCAGTGGGGAGCTCCGAGCATTATTAAAATTACCTTTGTTCCATGCTGTCAACTTCATATGCTGCTTGTCATCTAATAGAATAATAAGTACAGCCATCCACACTCTTTGATAGGTAATTGTCTGAGCTGCTATGTTCAATCATGGCTCCAACTGGAATATATTGTTGTGCCCTTGGGCAAGACACTTCAACTACCGTGTCAAAGAATGAAATTGGTGAGCGAGGTTGGCACCCATTGCCAGAATTAATTTGTGTATATCAGTATATAATAAGTAATAATAATAATAATAATAATAATAGTAAATAATGATACATTTTATTCATATACAGTAGCACTTTTGAGGACATTTACAAAACAAATTAAAACATCCAAAAGAGCAACAGAGACAAACAATACAGTTAAGATAAAAAAATTGTGAATCATATAGAGAAAAAAAAGAACATTAAAGCTATTCTAAATGTATGAGTCTTGAGAAAGGATAAAGATAAAGTATAACACATCTGTATTCTACACCTACACCTCTTCCCAAAGATGAGTACCAGTAATAATAATAATAATTTTAATTAATATAGCATTTTCAACATGCTAAAAGAACTTTACAATGCAAACTAATTCACTCCATTGGGGGTGAGCTGCTTCTGCCCTGGGATAGACTGATAGATGTAAGACTGCCAATTTACACCATTGGTACATCACTTTTATACCACATTCAGACAATTTTAGTGAGATTGCTCAAGGACACAATGACAGGAACTACTGACTTTGGTGTTGGTGGCAAGGTACTATATTATACAAAACTGACAAAGCTTTAAGCCATCTTCAAAGCTTAAAATGCTCTGTTCCACCTTGTGATGTCATGAAATA